AACGGATCATTGTTCACTTGATATTTGTACACTTGATTAGGACTTCTTATTAGGAATAGACCCGAAAGGTAAGCTTAAATACAGAACAGAATTTCCACTCAAGCACACAGAGCGACGTCCGGCTTCAAGGTAAGCGTCAGGTCAAGCTTGTTTGAGTGTGTTATGCCTGTCGGTGAACTCGAAGCTCTGTAGCGAGGGTTCATCCGGCAAGGCCAAGAGACTTTGTGTATTGGCCGATTATTATCGGGAGGTTTTACGTGACGGCTTATTGTTGCCTATTTGCACGACTGGGAGTGCTTTAATTGTCTCCCCTTTATTTCTTCCAGCCGAGTGTTGAACACTCGGTGATCTCGTAAAAGGCTTACCCGTGCCTGGTACCCTTCCGCTGCTGGGACCACGAGGATTCAAAACACCTGCTAGCTTTGCTCGTGCTAGTAGCGTGTTCTTATTTTACTGGTTGGCCTATATAAGTAGTTTACAAGGTCCAGTTTGTCCCGGTGCAAGGGCAGAACTGGGGTCTTCAGGTCCGCCCGAACGATCGTTTACTATCCTATTAGGCGTATTGTTGTGGGAACATCCTAACTACATTTGTAGCTAGAGTTCACGTGGGAATTCCAACACCACATAGCTCACCGCCGTGCTTCCTTGATATTGGCAGCCATGTTGTGTACGTCCCTTAGGGTGACTCGCTTGCCTATAATAAAAGCGGTTTAGTAACGGTATATATCTCATAATAAATAGTAGGCGTACCAGTTTTTTACCTCAAATACTCCATGATCATCTTTTTCTTCGCTCCAGCCGCCTGCAACTCCTCGACGAAGCCAAGGACGTCAGCATCTTCAACTCGACGGTTGGCAGGGTGATTGGCGTAGGTGATCTGACCGAGGGGGTGATTGTGGACAGTGAATTGCTGAGTTACTTTCACCTGGAAGCCTAAATCCGCAACCCAGACCACTGTAAGAGACAACTGCACCTGACAGTGTGTCGACTTCAAAAATAGCTCTCTTGTTTCCCTTGAGATCGGCTTGGCCGTGACCATCCATGCGTGCATATCAACCGCTGGTAATACTTTTCAAAAGAAGCTGGAATAGTTGTTGTAGATGTAGCCTTTCCACGGCGCGTGAGGTCCGCGTTTCTTGCCTCGACACTCGTAGACGTCCTCTTGCGGAAGACTTGGTACGTTTCATCTTGATACTTGTCCAGATACTAAAAAATTGGCCCAGCCCGCGAAATGACGCTTCTATATAGGTCGCGCAACGAACTTCCTGTCATCATGAGAGAGAATATGGTCCTCGGGTGATTGTGCCTCAGTTGTGGAGACGGTGTCAGCCGCTAGAGAAGTGTGGTGTAGGGATTTCCAGATTCAACCATACGCCGACCTACTTTAGGTCAAGAATCGGCTCGGTCTGATAACCCCAGAGCTTAGGAGCAAAAGATCACGGTAAGTACTCGGCGATCTGTCCGGATATGCTATCCGGATAGCCGCTGAGCTCAACGGTCGCCGGAACTCAGCTGAAGAGTCGGTAGAGATCCGAAACGACTACATTTCATTAGATATTTGTATGAGAAGCATAGGATTAAATAGGGGGAGCCGAAAGGGCTCCCAGAAGATAACAGAGCAGAATTTTCCTAGTCCAAGACACGTGTACACTTTTCCGGTAAGTCCCTGCATAGGGCTGGATTATGCCTGCCGTCAATACTCGAGAGGCATAGCTTGTAGGGTATTGACTGGTAGCGCCAAGAGATTAGGTCGGTCCGGGTAGGACAAAGTCTCGCTACGCGCGAAAGAAAGTCCCGCATACTCAGCGGGCCGGTACGTCGGATAGCCCGGGTGCCGTAACACTTCTAGCGGAGCAGCCTCTGCGCTCGGTGACCTGTAAAAGCGCTCGCGCGCCGTCGTCCATCCTTTGGTGGAGGGCACAGGGTTGTGAACGAGCTCAGCCGAACCAAACTCGGCGGAGCCTCGGAAGTGATCTGACTTGGTTAGTCGGAACCGAGTGGAAGCGAGCCACTCGTCTGTCCCGGAAGGGCCGGACCGCGAGGGGACCACCCTCTGCGCAGGCCATACAACCGCCGACCTAACTCGGCGATTCGTTGTGGTTTGTGTAAGGAATCCACATCTGACGGTATTTGTGTGTTCTACTACACCACAACTGGTGCCGCGACCCGGGAACAGGAGTGTGTGCTTGTTTTTATAGGTGCCAGCTAACCAAGTTAAGAGGAAGAGAAGAGAAAGAGAAGAGTGAAGATGGTCAAGGGATCAGCAACCGAGCGACGGAAGCCCAGCGACGGCTGGAGGATCGCCTCTCGCGGGGTCGGACCCGGCGGATCAACGACTCATCGCCATGACGATGGAGGTGGGACGAACCGTCCAGTTCGACGAGGATGGCCAAGACCAAGAGAGCGAGAACGGAGATTCAAGTGAAGGAGAGTATGAAGAGAAGGCCGAGACCGCTGAGCTCGGAGAAACGAAGACTACCGCCGAGCTACTTGGCGAGGTGGAAGAGTTGACGCTGCAGGTGGGACGCATGGGAGCCCCACGTCCTGTCGAGCGTAACTTATCCGCCGAGCTCGACGAAGGTGCGAACGATGAAGAAGATGAAGAAGAACATGGCGTTGCTCAAGGGGACCGTCCGCCCCTTATTCCGAAAGCGACGAGGAACGCCGATACGCCGAGCGCCAATAAAGTGTTGGCTCGACTCGGCGAGGAGATGAGAACGAGATCGGAATGGATGATGATGTTCGCGCCTGTGGCGATGGCGCAGGCGAAGTGGCCGATGTTGGGTCCCGAGTTAACTCAGCCGGTGCGTGCAGCCAACATCATTCAGTTGGTGGAAGAAACTGTGTTGCTGTTGAAGGCGATGGGCTATCGGTGCAACAGCCGACCAAACAGCCTCAACCTGTCCGACTGGAGTCTGACCCGTGGCGGAGCCGAGCTCTGGCAATGGAAGAAGAAGCTGAGAGTGGCGTTTGGATTGGAGAAGGCCCCTGGTGGAACGAAGAAGGTGTACAGCCGAGTAGCCGAGTTCAAACCGCTCGGCGAGGACCCGAGCAAGATTCCTTTGCCGAAGACCCCGGAGACGAAGAGACGTGAAGTGTTCCGCGCTACGCAAGGGACTCCGTACTTCGAAGACTCTCACATGCTGACTCCACTGAAGCTAAACCCGACTCAGCGAGCGCCGAGTCGTGGGCAGCGGAATGTAGGTCGTTACCGTGAATTGTATGACGCTGCAGATGAGGCTGAGGCTTACGAGGAGGATGAAGAAGACGGAGACGCCTTCGACGTGAGAGGTAACCGTGAAGAAACCGTGAAGGACTACATCCGAAACTTGAGCTTTGACGCGGCTGAAGAGGACTCGACGCAGTACCTCGAAGTCCGAACCCACGCCTCGCTCGACAAAATCGCCGAGTTCGAAGGAAAGCGCTACCGCTCTGACGCGTCGCTCCAGTGGCTCAAGCGTTTCATCTACGAGATGAAGAGCACCAGGATGCCCCAAAGTG